CTAAATAGTACTTAGGTGAACATTTATATCTCTAAATGCTTATATCAATAAAATAGAAAAAGAATGGATTAATAAATTGAGCATGCAATTTAAAAAAACTAGAAAAAGAACAAATTAAAAATTCACAATGAAAAAATTGGAAATCCTGAAAAATCAAAGGAAAAATTGATAAAGTTTGAAGCAAAAAAATTGAACTAATAAAACTAGGAGCTGGTTTTAAGAAAAGAACAATAAAACAGAGGTGAAAAATATCCTTCGTTAATGTGATTTTAAAAAGAAAGAAAACTAAATTTCCAATATAATAATGAAAAAAGGTAAATACATCACCAATGAAGATGAAATTTAAGCAATTATTAGGAGCTACTTTGACTAATTCTATGCAAATAAATCTGACAATCTAAGTGAAATGGATGGATGTTTCTAAAAATATAAAATTCCCAGATCAAAAGAAGAAGAAATAGAATACTTAAATAACTCTATCTTAGAAAAAGAAATTAAAGAAGCCATAAATGATTTCTGTAAGAAAAAAATCTCAGGACAAGACATATTTACAAACATTTAAGGAAAAATTAATCCCAGTACTGTATTTTTCAAAATAGACAAAGAAGAAGTACTGCCAAATTACTTTTATGGTACAAATATGGCAATAATACCAAAACCAGGAGAAGCAAAAACAGAGAAAGAAAAATATAGGCCAATCTCCCTAATGAATATTGATGTAAAATTTTTGATGAACACTAGCAAGGAGATTGCATTAATATATAAAAAGAGCATACACTCTGATGAGGTGGGATTTATACAAGGAAGATAGGCCTGGTTCAATATTAGTAAAATTATCAGCATAATTGATTCTATTAATAATAAAAACAGCAAAAATCATATAATTATCTCAAAAGATATAGAAAAAGCTTTTGACAAACTATTCATTTCTATTAAAAACACTAGAAAGCATAGAAATAAATGGAGTTTTCCTTAAAATGCTAAATTGTATCTCATACCATCAGCAAGCATTATCTGTAATGGAGATAAGCTAGAAGTCTTCTCAATAAGATCAGGGGTAAGGCAAGGATACTCATTATCACCGCTATTATTCAAAATTTTACTAGAAATACTAGTTACAGTAATAAGAAAAAGAAATTGAAGTAATTAGAACAGGCAACAAGGAAACAAAATTATCACTCTTTGCAGATGATATGATGGCCTACTTAAAGAATGCTAAAAAATGAGTTAAAAAATTATCTGAAATAATCAACTTCAATAAAGTTACAGGATATAAAATAACCCCATAAATCATTAGCAATTCCATGTATTACCAACAAAGTTCAGTAGGAAGAGATAAAAAGAGAAATTCCATTTAAAATAACTTTAGACAATATAAAATACTTGGGACTCTGCCTGCCAATACAAACATAGGAACTTTACTATTCAGTAATTTTTCTATCATACCTGACTCTTTATTACCCCATTTGGGGTTTTCTTGGCAAAGATAGTGGAGTGGTCTGCCATTTCCTTCTCCAACTCATTTTACAGATCAGGAAACTGAGGCAAACAGGGTTAAAGTGAGGATCACACAGCTAGTAAGTGTCTGAGGTTAAATTTGAACTCAGGAAAATAAGTCTTACTGACTCCAGACCTCGTACTCTAACTCCTGCACCACCTAGCTATCATGGGAATTATATGAATACAATTACAAAATATTTTTTACACAAATGAAGACAAATCTAAACAATTGGAGAAATATTAATTGCGCATGGGTAAGCCAAGCCAATATAATAAAAATGACATTTCTACCTAAATTAATTAACTCCTTCAGTGCCATCCCAATCAAGCTACTAAAAAATTATAAATCTAGAAAAATAATAAAATACATCCAGAAGAAAAAAAGATCAAGAATAACAAGAGAATCAACGAAAAAAAATTATAAAGGAATGTGGCCTACCAGTAACAGATCTCAAACTATTACAAAATGTTAATTAGAAAGTAGTAATAATCAAAATAATCTAGTACTGGCTAAGAAATAGAGTAATGATTCAGTAAAATAGATTAGGTATACAATATACACTACCAAATGACCAAAGTTATCTAGTATTTCATAAACCCCAGATCCAAGTTTTTGGGGTAATAGAACATTGTACCCAGTAGCAGAAATGTTGTAAAGGTGATCAACTGTGAATGACTCAGCTAACCTGATCAACACAATGATTCAAAATGAAAAATGTCATCTACCTCCAGAGAAAGAGCTGATGGAGTCTGAGTACAGATTTAAACATATTTTTTCTCTTCTTTATTTTTCTGACTGCTGTTGTTGTTTTTGCAACATGGCTAATACAGAAATATGTTTTACATGATTTCACATGTATAATTGATGTAGTATTTCTTGCCTTCTTGATGAGTAAGTGGGGGTAGAAGAAAGGACAAAATTCAGAATTCAAAATTTAAAAAAAATGTTAAAAATAATAAATAATTTAGGGAAAAAATATTCACACTAGTGCATTTCTGGTAGGGCTGTGAATCAGTACAATCATTTCAGAAAGTAATTTAAAATTATGGAAACAAAGTACTAAAATGTCTTTTAAAAATTATTCAATGTGATAATGTAAAACTACTCAAGAAGCAGTACCTCTTCCAAATGGTTGGGCCGTTACTGGTTCATAAGAGCTCACTTTCTTTTATATAAAAAACTGTCTAAATCTTAAAATGTTTTACAAATGTCATAATGTGTAAGTATATCATTATTATTGATAAGCATAAAGGATGGTACCTTCATGCCATACATGTTGAGTTTTTATATTACCTAACTTTCATAAGATTCCATAGGATTTGCTTTTTTTAATCAAATTCATGATTTGATTATTATAAGGAACTCTCAATAACCTTGCAAGTCAGCACCTACACTGCAATTTATAGTCTTACACAGTTGCCTGGGACACTAAATGTTTAATTATTTTGCCCAGAGTCACATAGTCTGTATACAGCAGAGGCAACTATTAAACCCAGGTCTCCCTGGCTCCAAGGCTGACTCTATTCACTTCACCATACTTCATGTATTCACAGTAGACTTCCAGTACCCACAAGCTCATCTCACTTATCTCTTCCCATAACTTCCTTTTGTTTACTTCCTTAAGAAGTACTCTCTCCTACCTTATTATAACTTCTTATTATTATTAGCTGAACACACTAGAAGTCACAGTGTCAGTTCTGAAAGAATGTAAAAGAAAATGAAGAACATGAGATCCTTCTGTAGAGATGAAAACAAAACAATTCCTTTTGGGGGAGAACCTTCCCATTAATTATTTTCTATTGAGAGTGCTTTGTTGTTATTGTTCAGTGATTTTCAGGGGTATCTGACTCTCCATTTCCCCATTTAAGATTTTCTTGGCAAAGATATTGGAGTGGTTTGCCATTTTCTTCTCCAATTCATTTTACAGATGAGGAAACTAAGGCAAATAAGGTTAAATGACTTGTCCAAGGTCAAATACCTAGTAGGTGTCTGAGAACACATTTCAACTCAGAAAAATGGGACTCCTTGACTCCAGGCATTGTACTCTATCCACTGCTGCCTGGAGAGTACTTTAGGAGAACTCTAAACAAAATTCAAGAGGCCTGGTCCTTATTCTTATAAGGAGATTAATTGGATTTATTGTGTTGCAAGTTAATTCTTATTAAGTGTGACTCTGACCACATCACCTATCAATGAACTCTAATGACTCTCTACCACCTCTAGGATCAAATATAAACTCCTTTATTTGGCATTTAAAGCTCTTCATGACTTGGTCCCTTCCTTTAATCCTTTCTACAGTATCAGCCTGCTAAAATGACCTAATTTGTTGTTTCTACAATACGACACTTCCTCTACCAAATTCCTGCCTCGAATCTTGAATCCAAAACTGATTCTCTATTCACCACGACAATGCTACTTATCTCACAAAAATAAATCAAATGTTGATTATTATATTTAACAGTATCATGATTTTTTAAACTAAGACAACTTAAATGATTTCTAGACCACACCATAGCAAGAAGTTGTAAAATACAATGGATAAATCATAGGATTTGAGAAGTTGGAAAGGACATTAGAGATTTTTTTTTCCAAGTAAGCTCCTTGGAGGGCAGAGACTTTTTCACTTTTTTCTTTGTCCCCAGCACCTAGAACAATCTCTAGCACATAATAAGCGTCTAAAAAATGCTTATTTAGGTGAATTGACCACATAATTTCACAACTCATTTATGGGTTCAGATCAGTGGTCACACACTGAATTCATGGCCAAGCTAGGATCATAAGTCTAATTTCCATCATGACATAAAATCAGTAAATCACAACACTAGCCAATTTATCTGATTTAAGAGTTATGTCAGAGGACTTTAATGGACAAAAGGACTATTTTCATGTCACCTAGATGTAAATATTATATTACCTTATATAGGAAGAAAAGGTGGTTTGAGGTGTGGTTTGAGAGATTCTGGGCCCCGGTGGGGTATGTAAGTTGTATGTGTGCATGGTATGTGTGTGTCTACGTGAGGGAGTTGATGGCTGGGTAGGTGTAAGAGGAGTCTGGACACCAAAGGCAAACTTGTACCTCTTCACAAGTTTCTTAGGCTTAACCCTGGTATAGTTAAATGGTTTCTCTTAAGTCAGAGTTATTTTGAAACAGAACAATGATCAGAATTTTAATGCATTCCCCTCTCAGTTCAAGTCTCTTTATTTGAGACTATAGTTGGTTTTTTCCTTGTCTATTGTTTTTGATTTTCCTTTCTATGTCTCATTTATATACAATAATCTTTAATTTCCAATCGTTCACTTAAGGGTTTTGTACAACATATAGTTTATGTCCTCTTATCACCTTTCCCATTTCCTTTTTTGTTGTTTTTTTTTCCCATTTCAAAACTGGTCATTTTGAAAGCAAAAACCAGGCATCATTTGGAAACCTGGAAGTAAACAGGGGTTGCTGGAATTCAATTATGCATGGAAAGACTATAAAAGAAGGATTTTTTTTTCTCACCCATAATCTCTAGTATTGACGTTTTCAATTAATTCTGGACGAACAAGGCATACTCGCTGGGAGCATCGCCACTGCTGGTCTGAGCATGTGCTGAAAAGATATAAGAAATACAAATGAATACTAGCCACAGCAACAAGCACATTTCAAAGTAAGTGGCAAAAATGATGCATTGTTATTACAAAAGTGCATTTCCTAGATTGATTTTTTCCTACTTTGGCTGTTGGCTTCTTAATGAAAATAAACAAATTTAAACGGCTGTAATAGAATATACCACTCATTATGCCTGTATTAGTATTTTATCTTTTTTACTTTAATATACTACTTTATCTGACTTTAGAGGAAGGTTTAGAAAATGAAGAAAAAATGCATGCTGTGCTTCCATTGTATTTGTAATCTCTCCCTAGGCACCAGCTCTTTCATGTTCGCCTATAAGTACCCTCAGATCACTCATTCTAAAGGTACCATTCCCATCCATGGTGTTTTCTTGAATCATCATAAAATCTCTTTTCTTTTATTCCACAGCCAGACTTTTAGAAAGGACAGAGTATATTTACTATTCCAAGTTCCTCATTACATACACCAATTCTACGCAACATGGTTTCCATTCATCTCTCAAAAAAACTGCACAGCCAAATATAATGAGAGAGAGAGAGAGAGAGAGAGAGAGAGAGAGAGAGAGAGAGACTCAATATGTTAACTCCACCGAGGATAATAATAGTATTTACACCTACCTCCCAGGGTTGTTGTTACGATCCAAAGACATAACATGTTTTTTTGTTTGTTTGCTTTGAGGTTTTTGCTGTTGTTGTTGTTGTTTTTAAAAGTGCTTATTACAGTGCCTTGCACATATTAAGCACTTAAATTCTTGTTTCATTGTTCTGCATAAGATTTTGCAGAACAACTCTACCTCCACTCCTTGATTTATATTCAGTGGTATGGATACTGGAGAGAGAGGCAGTTGTTAAATTTTCATTGTGAGTATTGACACCTTGGAAATGAGATAATCACATAATGCTACAAATGAGGGCTTGATTTATTGCTTGGCTAGACTTAATAAAGTCCAGATGGAGAAAACGTAAATAATTCAGATTAAACTTAAAAAGTCTCTGTTGCATACATTTTGGAGAGCTGGTTAGTAAATATTTACCAGCACATTAATGCTTTGATCATTCTTTGTGCCTCATACATCCCTCCCCATAGCTCTGCATAAAAATTCTGCCACTATATCTAAGCCCAACTCAAAGGCTACCTCGTCCCTGAAGTCACCCATGAGCTTTCCAACCAAAAGTGATCTCTCCCATCTTTGAATTCAAATAGCACTTTATTTGTATCTTCATTATAGATTTATCACCTTAAATGTTTTATTATAGTTCTTTTTATAGTTTTCTTATTCTGCTCAGTAGATTGTAAACTACTGGAGGACAAGCACCTTGGCTTATCCATCTTCATATTTCTCATAATTCCTTATCATAGCATGCAATGCATAACAGGTTTTTTTAATTTTTTTTTTACTTTTAACATATGTTTTTAAAACTTTGGATTACAAATTTTCTCCCTTCCTCCCTCCCCAACCACCCTCATTGAAAAGGCAAACATCTCGATATAGGTTATAGATGTATAGTCATGCAAAACACTTCCATAGTAGTCCTGTTGTGAAAAAATAAGTATATTTCCCTTCATCCTATACTACCCTCCCATTTATTCTATTCTCTTTTTTGACACTGTCCCTCCTCAGAAGTGTTTGCTTTTGATTATCCCCTCCCCCAATCTGCCCTCTCCTCTATCAACCCCCTGCTCTCTTGTCCCTTTCCCCCCTTATTTTCCTGTAGGGTAAGATAGATTTCTATAACCCATTGTGTATGTTATTCCCTCCTTAAGCCAAATCCTATGAGAATAAGATTCACTCTTTCCCTCTCACCTTCCCCCATTTCCTTCCACTGTAAAAGCCTTTTCTTGTCTGTTTCATGTGAGATATTTTACGTCATTCTACTTCTCCCTTTCTCCTTCTCCCAGTATAATCCTCTCTTGCCCCTTAATTTTATTTTCCAGATATCACCCCTTCATCTTCAACTCACCCTGTGCTCTCTATCTATCTACATATAATTTTTTTCCCTCCCACTACTCTAATACTGACAAAGAACTCATGAGTTACAAATATCATCTTTCCCTGCAGGAATGTAAACAGTCAATCTTAGTAAGTCTCTTATGATTTCTCTTTCCTGTTTACCTCTTCCATGTTTCACTTGAGTCTTGTATTTGAAGATCAAATTTTCTATTCAGCTCTGGTCTTTTCCACAGGAATGCTTGAAAGTCCCCTATTTCATTGAATGACGATTTTTTACCCTGAAGGATTATACTCAGTTTTGCTGGGTAGGGGATTCTAGGTTGTAGTCCTAATTCCTTTGCCCTCTGTAATATCATACTCCATACCCTCTGGACCTTAATGTAGAAGCTGCTAAATCTTGTGTTATCCTGATTGTGTTTCCACAATACTTGAATTGTTTCCTTCTGGTTGCTTGCAATATCTTCTCCTTGATCTGGGAGCTCTGGGATTTGGCTACAACATTCCTAGGAGTTTTCCTTTGGGAATCTCTTTCAGGAGATGATCGGTGGATTCTTTCAATTTCTATTTTACCCTCTGGCTATAAAATATCAGGGCAGTTTTCCTTGATACTTTCTTGAAAGATGATGTCTAGGCTCTTTTTTTTTCATGGCTTTCAGATAGGCCAATAATTTTTAAGTTCTCTCTCCTGATCTATTTTCCAGGTCAGTTGTTTTTCCAATGAGATATTTCACATTCTCTTCTATTTTTTCATTCCTTTTGATTAGTGTTACAATGCCTTGATTTCTCAAATTGTCACTAGCTTCCAATTTCTCCATTCTAATTTTTAAAGAAGTATTTTCTTCACTAAGCTTTTGGACTTTCTTTTCCATTTGGCCAGTTTTGCTTTTTAGGGCATTCTTCTCCTCATTGACTTTTTGGACTTCTTTTGCCATTTGGGTTAGGCTATTTCTTAAGGTGTTATTTTTTTCAGTATTTTTTTGGGTCTCCTTTAGTGTCACTCTCAGTTTTCCCTCTACTTCTCTCACTTGCTTCTCAAAATCCTTTTTGAGCTCTTCCATGGCCTGGGACCAATTCATAATTTTCTTGGAGGCTTTGGATGTAGGAGCTTTGGTTTCATTGTCTTCTTCTGGTCATATGTTTTGATTTTCTTTGTCATCAAAGTAAGATAATATAGTCTGACTCTTTTTGCACTGCTTGCTCATGACCTCAGCCAATTATTTGAGTTATAAACTCTTTTTTTAAGGTAGGAGTCTGTTTCCAGTGTGGAGAATGTACTGTCCCAAGCTTCAGAGGTTTTATGCAGCTGTTTTCAGAGACACTTCTAGGGACCTTTAAATTTTCAGTTCTTCCAAGGTGCTATGATCAAGGGTGAGGTGCTTACTCCTTTCCTGGCCTGTGCTCTGGTCTATGAGTACTCTTTTCTGTCTTGGAACTGTGAGGAGGGTTTCCTCTCCACAGCCAGTACAAGCTCCACCATGCCAGTGCTACTTCTTGCCCCAGGACCCCTCAGAACTGTGACCCAGATCCAAGCACAGGCAAAGCAAGAGAATCCTGCACCAGCACAGAGATCTCTGCAATCCCCCTCTGATCAGTCACATGATTCCCCCTCAGTCTGTGGGGGGAAGTTCAAGAGGCAGCCACCATTCCAGGGATTGGGGCTGGAACCCCACTATCCTTCTCTCTTAGCACTGTAGAAACAGACTTTTCCCACTGACCTTCTAAGTTGTCTTTGGTGTTCGTGGGTTGAGAAGTCTGGAAACTGTCACAGCTGCCCATGATTCAGTCCCCTGAGGCCTGCTCCAGAGTCGCTGCAACTGCATGCCTACCCGAACTGCTCTCCTCTCCCCACCCAGAGCTATATACCTTTCTGATCAACCATTCAGGCTGTCTTGGGCTGGAAATTTGTTTCACTCTGTCTTTTTGTGGGTTCTGCTGCTTTAGAATGTGTTTAAAGCCATTTTTTATAGGTATTTGAAGGGGTTTGAGGGAGAGCTCAAGAAAGTCATTGCTTTTACTCCTCCATCTTGGCTCTGTCCCCATAACACACTTTTAAAGTTAATCTGCATTATTATTTTCTATAATGCCTTGTTAAGTCTACATAATAAACAAAGTAATAAATCAAGCCCTGATTTGTAGCATTTGCCAATTTCCAGGGTGAAAATGCTCACACTGAAAATTTAGCAATTGGAGCTGGCTCCAATATATACCTGTATACATATTTTAGATGTCTATTAAAAGTTGGTTAAATTAATAGAGAATAAATGAATATATGTTTGCAACATCACTGCAAGTCAATCAATTTTAGATAGGATTTTTTTAAGCCTATTGTTAAATTTAAAGATCAAGAGTTGACCCATATGTGTGCATTAATGCAACCCATGATGTGTGCATTAATTAATACTCATAATGTGCATTATGAGTATTAAATGTGATGTATTTTGAACACTGTTTTTGTTTTTCTTAGCAGAAATTAAGCCAAATCATTTGTCCTTTAAAGAATAAAAATGCTAAACAGTGTTTTTAAAGATATGTCTGTATTTTGATTGGCAATATTCATGAAAATCAAAGAAACTCAGAAAGGAAGATACAAAGTCACTTTTTTAAACATTTTTAAAAATTAATTTCTGCATTTTCCCTCTCTCAATGTTTAAATCAAGAATAGTTTTCTAAACAATCATATTATAGACAGGGAAAAAGAAAGGAAAAGAAAATCACCACAAAAAGAAATTTCCTTTTAGATTCTTAGAGTCATTACCAGTCATTGCAGTTTTCTTTAATTACAGATCCTTCCTCATAATGTCGACCATCTCTGAGGCAACCTGCCAACATAATATACAAATGAGTGGGAAAAAATACTAAATTCAGTTTAAGTGCATTGACACAATTTTAATTGGTTTTATATAATATATAGAAATTATTTGGTACCAACTTGATAAAGGGGATTTCTAGTTTGACACAGTCCATATATTGAATTCCAGGAAACTTCTTTGTAATATTCTCTTTAGAAATGTATATTATGTATATTATCATTCAGAAAAACCAGATTATCCTATGAGTTAATCATGACCCACTCATAAAAAAATTGAATATGTTTAAATGGATAAGTAAAAAAGAGTCTAAGTCAGATGTTGATATTTCTTTAAAGAAAAATGAAAAACTTAATCAATGCTCATAAATAGGTGTAACTAATTGTTTCCTGCACAAGTCAAACAGTGCATCAGTTTTGGATAAAATATAAAATTATGTCATCCAGTTCATTTAAAGATAAAAAAAAATCAAAATTCTCTCTGGAATGTCTCTCAGAAGAAAAATTTATGAAGTAGAAAAATTGCATACTCTCATCCACATTCCTTTTTAAAAATCTGATTTCAACTTATTACAACTGAAAATGTTCTCAGATTGTCAACTGAAATTGGTTGATAATTCTGCCCAAGTATATAAGCTGAATAGAGCAAGGGCATATCAACATGGTATCTGGAAAATGTCACTACACAACTGATCAACCATCCATACCCAACTTCATGGTAAGCTTTCCAATGCTCACAAACTCAACTTGCTCCTTTCTTCCAAATAGATGCTACTGTGCTAAGAAACAAAATCTATTTTTGCTGTAACAGCTGCTCAGACATATCCTTTGTAATGAATTAACACTGGAGGATATACCTATCTATAATAGGAGTGCATGATTTATAAATTCTAGGCAATTCCTACAGTAAAGGTTCTTAGGAACACAAACTTTTCCTATTCATTGACTCAACCATTGACCACAGTGTTCAGAAGTATTCAGATCTTTTCATAATCTTTGTGGGACTGTCTAAAATATGTTTTATTTTTTTCAAGAAAAATATCCCATAATTATCCTATTTCAGTAGCTACCATCTTCCCTTTAGGTCACCCATTCCTAAAGAATACTGATATTTCTATAACACCATAACACTGAAAATATTTGTGCTAGTCACTAAGCATACAAAAGTAAAAGTGAAACAGTTCCTGTCCTCAAGGATTTTCCAGGGGTGGGAAACCTGTGGCCTTGAGGCCATAGGTTTCCCACCCCTGCTGTATACACTAACAGGAATAATAGTATGTGTATACAAAGTTACATATATTTTGTATTAAACTATTTTTGTATGTAGATAGATAATTTATGTGGATAGATATATGGATCTATATATATATATATGTTTATAATTATGTTGTATACTTTTTTAAAATTTTATTTATTTTATTCTATACTTAAGAAATAAAACAAGCATTTCCACAACATGATAGAGAAGAAAAAGAAAAAAAGATAATTCTACATGAAACTGCAAATCTATTATGTGCAACTTGTTATTTTATATAGATATATATATATTTATATATATGTAATAAAGTTATCATTTAACTTTCTTTTTTTCCCTTTTTTCTTCCCCATTCCATCTTGCTCCATTCTAAAGATGGCTACCATTAGACACAAATATGTATATGTATGTGTGTGTGTGTGTACGCGCATGTGTGTTAAAACATTCTATACATACTTCTATTTATCAGTTCTTTCTTTAGATGCAGACATTGTCTTCCTTCATATGTCTTTTGTAGTTAATTTGGATGTTTATAATAGTCAAAATGACTTAGTCACTCAAAGTTGTTCTTAAAACAATATTATTGTTACTGTATACAATGCTGTCTTGGTTCTGCTCATTTCACTCTTCATTATTTCATGCAAGTCTCTCCATATATATTTTTTAATGGATGCTCAGTGGATAGAGTAGGCCTAAAGTCAGAAGGACCTGATTTCAAATCCAGCCTCAGACACTTACTAGCTGTGTTACCCTGAGCAAGTCACTTATCCTCTGTTTGCCTTCCTGGAGAAGGAAATAGCAAATCACCCCAGTATCTTTGACAAGAAAACGCTATGGACAGTATTGTCATCCTATGGTCCACTGGTCATGAAGAGTCAGACACAACTGAACAACAAACATACATTTTAATATATAATTGTTATGTCCCCTATTAGAATATAAGTTCATGGTCTGTGCAATATTTAATTCTTCATACTTGTATCCCCAGTGCCTAGAACAATGTCAGGCACATAGTATTTGTTTTCTGATTGAAGACTAACACAAAACATATGTAAAGTAAATACAACCTAAGAGGGAAATCAGATGATCAGGAAATATCTCACACAAAAGGAAATGAGAAGCCAGTAAGCATCCAAAATTCATATCTTCTTACACTGTCTTGTGTGAGACAGTGTACATTTTAGGAAAGGAAAGGAATGCAAAGGAGAAAAGAAGGGAAGGGAGATTAGAAGCTACAATCCAAGGAAAGGTTTTGCCCAAAATATCTTAGGTTCTTTGGATGAATGAGAGTCCACAGTTTTGCTCATTTCTTCTCCTGTCAATTGCATTTCATTATTAGTTAAATGTCAGAGTATTGCTGTAACTGAATTATATATTTAATTATGTTTCTTAGAAACCTTTCACACTCCAAAAGGGGAAAATGGCTTTCTAGACCTCTTTCTACATCATTCTTTGCTGCCTGATGAATTGTTCAAGTTATATCCACTTATACTACAAACCCAAAGGTTATGAACCAGTCATATTTGTCATATCAATTATGCATATAGACAAAACCATCAGTTCTTATCAAGGGATTTTAAAAATGGTTAGAGAAAACTAAAGACAATTTCTACTTATACAACTTAAAAAATATCACAGTAAGCCACTCAGATATTTGAAAGGTGAAGATTGGGCCCTGGGTGTTGTGGGGAAAGATGAGACAGTAGACTTCCTCCCAAAGATCTGCTAGTCAACATGAGTCTGCCATTGCTCCCAAATTTTGCATCTTCTCATTCGATTTCATTTGCAGCTCTATATTTGACATTTGAAGTCATCCAAACACTTAAGGCTACCATCAAGTATGAGAAAAAAAAAGATAGCATGTACTAGTCTACAGACAGAATGTAACAGCCTCACAGAATTCTGTCTTTAAGACTGAATTCATAGCATGCTGATTAGAAAAACAAAAAAATATTTTTCAGAGTAGAGAACAGTGAAGAAAATTGGTCACTATGACATAGCTAGAATTAAGAAATACTTAATAAAATTCTAGTGCCATAAACCATTTATGGCAACTTGGGAGAAAATATCTTTATATGGATAAAGTACTAATACAAGTAACAAACTGTTGACTCTTTTGCTGAAAGTCAACTGTGCACTCTTCTGAAAATGAAAGTACTGAGCTACTTTCTTGAACAGGGTATAACTCTAGGCATACATCTTGATCTTTAGCATCATTATCATCATATTCAACCTAACAATGATAGTCCAATATAAAAATTTTTCTATGAAGTAAAAAGTTTAAATATGCTACTTCCAGGACAGAAAAAAAAAATAGTTATGTGAGATCCAGATTATTCAGTCCAGGTGGAAATAGAGTAAAAATTATACCTACCTTCTGGAATGGGCTAATAATTTCATATGAGACCATAGATCAAAAGCAGGAAAGGACTTTAGAGGCCATCTAGTTCACCCTCGTCATTTTACAGATGAGGAAATAGACCTGACAAGTTTAAGTGACTTGTGTATGGTCACATATTTGGCAGAACCGGAACTGAGACACAGGTCCCTCTGAATTGCAATTCTGCTCACTTTGTATTATTTCAGTGATTCCAACACCATTTATTGAGGAATTCAAATATATTTCAGCCTAACCAAATCACTTGAGCCTTCAACATCTTTTATTAATACCAATGTAAACAAAACTGAAAATAATAAATAATCAAAATGCTGGCAATAAGCATAACAAACATTGTGCTTTAAAATGGTTCAAAAATTTTAGTTTGGAGTATAGTTCAATGTACATTAGAATGTAAACTAATTGGACAGCCTTAATTTTCAATCATCTACAGATAGAACAAGATAGGCCAGGTAACAAAGAAGATCTACCCAATCACCTGGTTGATCCAACCCAGAGTGTGGCTGCAGATCATCAGTAATCAGACTCTTGGGCTGGTCTGGTTGGAGAGGTTACTCTGTAGAGAGAGAGTTACTTGTCCCACATCTTGATGTGTCACAGGAAAATAGAAAACCTTCTGTTCCACAGGCACCACGACTTTGTCAGGGAGCTAAATGATAGTTTGGGTTTTTGAACAATATATGATGCCAAATGTTCTACCCAGGGTTATATCTAATGGAGCACAAAGATTGATGAAGACATTCATCAAGCTGTGATTCTCTAGTTTCCCAACTCAAGGTGCAATGAAGCTAACAGTGGCATCACACACTCCCATTAATTTCAGAGGGAATAATACAAAGGCAATTGACCAGCTTCTTGGCATGTCTCTTATTTTCCTGTGATGGGTCAAGACATAGGAAAAGTGACTGAAATGGACCTGTGATTCTATGATTTCATTGGCATAGGGAATTCACAGGTAAAGAGCTTACCTTCTACTAATACAGATGATACGTCTATTCTAAAAGGATTTCCTAGAGCATTCAGAAGTTAAGAATGTTTATGCCCAGGGTCACACAGCTACTATGGGACAGAGTCAGGGCTTGAACCCAGGCTTTCCTGACTCATAGACCTGTTCTCTACTAACTACACCATTCTACTTCTCATAAAAATAGGAAGAATATAGAAAAACTTGAAGTGAAATATGAAATGTTGCAAAATGAATTAAAAAGATCCAGGAAAATAATATTCACAGTGACAAGAATAACAATAACAAACCAAGACTGAACAATAATTATAAAGGCTAAACTTGGTCCCAAAGAAGAGGGGAAAAATGCACCTCGAGAAGTGAGGGAATCATAGGATCATAGATTTAGAAGTAAATTGGACCTTAGAAATCCGTTTAAGCCAATCGCATTTTACATTGGAGGAAACTGAGGCCCAGAGGTGTTAAGTGACTTGCTCAAGGTCACACATATGGTAAACATCAAGGTTAAATGTTGAACCCATGTCCTTCTACCATCAAGACCAGCGTGCTATCCACCATACCACAAAGATTGCAGTATGTAACATCACATATTTTGTCAGATTTGTTTGATGTATTGGTTAATTTTCATGAATTGCTTTTTTTTTTCTTTTTCACTATAAGAGATGGCTCTTTTGGTAGAGAAGAGGAAGGGTATATTTCATAATGAAGGCAATATAAAAACAAAGGATAACAATAATTTTAAAAATAATGTAGAGTCTCCATCAATAGGTGTCACCATTCTGCTCTGAGCCAAGATAACACACTCCAAAGGAGAGTAGTTAGACTTTTAAAGTGTTCAGATGAGGCATCTACGGACACCACTGTGTAAGGATGTCTATATATGGCAATCAAAACCACTCATGGTCCCATTAATTTAAGCAAAATAGAACAAATTATAGCATTAGTTTTAGGATTTGTATTTTCATCCAGGAAAGGCCTTATAGGTCATCTATTTCAAACCCTTCCTTTAACAGATGAGGTAACTGAGGTCCAAAAATGTGAAGTAATTTGCCTTTATCAGGAGCACAACTGAGCTTTGAACTAAGATCCTATAACTATGGATCTGTTTCAACTAATCAGACTCTAACCAGGAAACTTTATCATATAGTACAAGATGTTGTATTTTATACTTTACACACTACTAAAAGGTAACTGTCCATGCAGGGTAGAAAGAATGAGGTGATCCCAGGATCATAGAAGCATAGAATTTGAGTTTGCAGGGAACTTAGAACCTATCTGGTCCCACCTCCTCATTTTACAGATAACAAGAAACTGAAATCCCAAGAAGTTAAATGACTTGTCTAAAAACAAATCAGACCATTAGAAGGCTAAAGAAATTTATTTTAGGAAGAAACTCCAATTTTACTGCCAATATTTACACATGGTTCTTATTCATGTCAAGGGTTTTATCCACATAACACCAAAACAATCAACTAAATGATTTTTTAAAAATTACTTTAAACTTTTTATGATTCCCTTAGCTGCACTAGCATCATTGGAGAAGGCAAACAGTTCTATGGAAAGAACATGGACTCTTGAGTGAGAGGACCTGGATTCAAATCCTACCCTGTGTAACCTTGAGTAAATCACATAAGCTCCCTGTATGCCCTGTAAGCTTCTTCAGAGAGTTGAGTTTGACCACCAAGATCCCTCAGAGATCAGAATCTATAATCCTATGCCTAAGTATCATAAATTGAGGAAAGAAAAGTTACCAGAACACATTCATAAGCTAAATATCATTTAAAAATCATTCAAACTCAGCACTGGAAGTGCCTTACACCAGAAAAATCTTAAATGTACCTAGAGAGCATTCCAATTTAGATTGACTTGCTTAAAGACAAATTTCAATAATAATATAATAGAAGTGGATTTATTTATTCGTTAACTCATTTTTACTTATTTATTTAGTTTACCTTCATTTATTTTGTTTCTTTCATTTTTCTTTCTTTTGATTTATTTATTTGACCAGATCTATGATTTTATCTATTTAGAAAAATGCCTTTGTGGAAAGTCTCTCTATAGATTGCTTATAGTTAATCTCTCTGTAAGTATTTTCTCAGAGAGTCACCTGGAGTACTAAGAGGTTAAGTGACTTTCCTGTGGTCACATAGCTATGTGTCAGAGGCAGTATTTGCAACCAAATCTTCCTGATTCCAAGGCTTGCCCTCTTTCTACTACCCTCTACAGTCCCTTCAGACACCTATGTATACCCTGAGGAGTCCTGGTATTTGCCAACCACCCTGAACCTGTAATCTTGGGTCCTCTGGGCCTTTTCATCTGTCCTAAAGTTAAACCCTCCTTTATATTTTGCTTCCCCAGTGCCTACCTTTTTGATACAGATTGTCTTCTTGGCAAAAGAACTTGTAATCAGGACAGCAATCAGAATTTTCCCTTTCACAGAATTTATCACAGTAACACATGGCATTTGCCTCATAGAAATGAGTTACACAGTCATCATTTCTGTCTTCACAACAACCACGAGTCCTACAGTAATGTCCCTTATAAAGGGCTCTTCTAAATCTTGTTCTTTCCAAATTGGTAAAATTCCCAGTTGAATATGCTTGTAGGTTCATACCTCTCCAGGAGACAAATTGCTTTTCCATCCAAATTTCTGTTGTAAGGTAAAAGAAAATTAATATTTTGTACCAGGTCCACATCCTCTGGCCACCAGATGACTTCTCCCACCTTCTGTTATAGTGACAAGGTAATCCAATATCTGTCACTGTGATGATCTTATTAATGTCTTGTTAGATTTGTTTGAATATCCGGGTCGTGGCTGGCAATATGTCTCACTGGAAACCTACACACCGGACTCTTACTTGAACCGAATAAACTTCATGAGGTTAAATATTAATCACAAATTTCAGTGTTTAGCCAAGATAAAAGTAAGTGTTTAAAACAGGTCATTCTCATTCCTCAAGTTAAAAATAAGTTATGTTTTATTGTGCATTAAAATTCTTCTTTGCCATTGGGAGAAAAATACCCAAATTTTGTGAATGGTTACATAAAGTATAGGTTGGTCCCAAATCTTGAATCTCAAACCAGAGACTTCCTCAGAACTCACATGGCCCAGATGATTACTAAAGGGGCCATTCAAAATGCTAAGTCAATTTATTCATTTGTATTTGCCTGGCAACTAAAATCCAGACTCTCAGGAGATTGCCTGAAAAGATCTGTCATATCAATAAACAGTTGTTCTAAATCATGCCTTATCACACACTGAATTCACTTCCCATCTGTACCAAATTTACCTATCAAAAACATTTTTGAGTGGCTTAGTAGAACTTAATGTGGCTAGAAATCTCAAGGGAGGGATCTTAGTTCTCCCAAATTACACCCATGCCTGGCACTGATTGGAGAAACTGCAGTATACTCAGCTCACCATATGGTAAAGAAGAGACAATTCTCCCATGCCATCGAAAAAAATGGAAGGTTCCAAAAAGTTTATGGAGAAAATTTTGAAGGTCAAAAATGCTTCTCCAGCACTTCATACTTAGTGTATGTGTGTGTGTGTGTGTGTGTGTGTGTATGTGTGTTTTCCGTCACATAGTAATAAATTGGGAAATAGCTTAGGGTGGAGAATAAAAAGTTAGTTTCAGAGTTGGGAAAACCTGAGTTCAAATCCTGCCTCTGAAACAGACTGGCTGGCTTATCCTACAAGAGTCATTTTACCTTTCAATGGCTCAGGCAAATTTCTAAGACTTGAAGTTTCAAATGAGCTGACTATCAATACTGATAATGATAATAATAGCAACAATAACAACAATAACATGGACATAATGCCTTAAGGCAGCTAGGTGGCACAGTGGGTAGAGCACTGGGCTTAGAATCAAGAAGACTCATCTTTCCAAGTTCAAATCTGACCTTAGACACTTACTAGCTGTGTGACCCTGGGCAAATTACTCAACCATGTCTGCCTCAGTTTCCTCATCTGTAAAATGAGCTGGAGAAGGAAACGGCAAACCACTCTAGTATCTTTACCAATAAAACCCCAAATGGGGTCACAAAGAGTCACATAACTGAAATAACTATACAGCAACAAGAAGAAGCACCTTAAGGTTTGTAAAGAACTTTACAAATATTATCTCATTTTAACCCTGCAACAATTCTGGGAGGTAAATGTTATTATTATTCCCATTTTACAGCTTAGGAAATTTAGGCAGAATGAAATTAAATTTCCCAAGGGTCACACAGCTAATAAATGTGAGACTGGATTTGAACTGAGATCTTTCTGATTCTAGATCCACCACTCTAGCTACTGTTTCACCTAGGGAGTTCTCTATACAGATAAAAATAATAGGACCAGCATTACAGTGTAACGTAATAGATTGTTGTACTTGGAGTCAGGGAAAGATCGGTCCAAATTCTTCCTTAAACACTAGTAATAAGTATGACCCTAGGCAAGTCACTTTGTTTCTCTGGGGCTCAATTTCCTCATCTGTAAAATCAGGATAGTAGACTCAATAACTTCTAAGATCTCTTTCAATTCAAAATCTATAATCATATATATCAATAAATAAACATTTATTTACTGCCTACTATGTACCTGGCACTGGTCTAAATATTATATGTATTTATGTATGTATGTATGTATGTACCCAAACACATGTAAATTGACTATAGTAACTCTCGTTGGATTAAGACTAGGTAATAAGCATAAATAACCCCAGAATATCATAGAAATAGATTGGACCTGAAAGACAATGATAGCCAGTTTAAAAACCTATGTATAAATTATATATTTTTATTGTTAGTCAAATGTTTTACACTAAAAAGGTTAGTTATTGAAATCCTCTATGTTAAGTGAAGAATCCTTGAACACTACAAATAATAACCCTTTAATTTATTTTTGTCTTAATTCTGATTCTGAGATTTTAATTTTTCTTTTAAGAAAAACAAAAGAAGGATTATAAATCTGGTAGAGTGGTAGTGTCTGCAACTTCATGGGTATACAGAAGCCCCCAGTAAGTATATTTCCTTTGCCAAAGCAGGTCAGTCCCTGCTCTGCAATTTACAGTCTTAAAGAGTTTCCTGGGGCACTGAGAGATTAAGTGACTTTCTTCAGGGTCACACAGCCAACAGGAGCTCTGTCAGAGATAGGCCTCAAAGTCAGACCTTCCTAACTCTGGCCATTTCCTTCTCCATTATGCTACACTGCCTCTCATTATGTATAATATGTTATATTTTACCAAGTGCTTAGCAGAAAATACCTAAGTGGAGAGTATCTCTATACCCTATGATCCTAAAAAATTCTAAGCAGGGCCCTGTGCTCACTCCCTAACCCCCACTGGCAAGTAACGGTGCCAGAAATCCCACCATTAGAAAGTCCTCTATTTTGGGGCAAGGGGAGGATCCCCCATGGCTTTTTAGTTACCTATTTCATCCTTTAAGACAGCCCCAGGTATAAGGACTCCCTTTAGTCTCTTCAAATAACACCATGATTATTTAACAGCCAGCTGAGAGCAAGGCCCAGCAGAAACAAACAATAGGAGCCAGCCAAAACCAACCTAAGCCCTTTGCAATTTTTCCTCCTGCACCTCAGTTAAGGAAATGGTAACTGATTCTCCTCTGGGTCATCAAAGACTAAGTGAAGAAAAAAGCTTAAATGGTGTAGACAAAAGCAAATCTTCCTGACACCCAGGATCATTAAAAGTAGAAAGCTCTGCTGAGGGAAAATTAAAAATCTTTAAAACCTTGGGAGGGTTTTAAAGGTAGCATACATTCTTACATGTCTTCAGTGGTCTAAGTATGCCATTGTTTAAGATACAGAAATACCCTGTGATCTGCTAATGTCACTTTCAACCTGATGGCTCTGTGGCACGTGAGATATAGGGACAGATTGTAGGACTCCTCCCTCATATATTTTTTGTAGTGTCTCAGACTAAGCTAAAATTCCACATGTCTCTCAAAAGTTAATTGTTAATGTAGATTTGGTCTATAATTATTCAATGCTTAAAAAACAATTAAAACTTTAACAGATCTTTGAAGTGGAACAACCGATCCTATTGCAGCTCCCCAAACAACAGTAATTTGGTATACTTGGTCCAGGTTGTGTTTATTTTTATTTTCCTGTGCCATATTACTGGGAGACCTAGCTTTGCATTCAAATTAAACTAATGATTACAATTCTGACCTTCCCTTGCTGTTGGGTTTCTAAGATCATTCTTTTGACACTTTTCAATTCTGAGAATAATTGTACACAGTATAGTGATTTGTGTAGGGGCACATCTGTGAATTAATGCAAGCTAGAAGGTTGGATTAGAAGTCAATTCGGAAAAAAAAGGTAATGACAGAACAGCAGAGTACACACATGGTAGCCCAAGACAATCCACTTAGCTGGGGGGGTAAGAAAGGGGAAGAAGCAGAGACACAACTTGATGCTTATCCATTCCTCCCCAATTCTCCACTCTTGAGGCTCTAGGAAGACCCTGTTTTAGGATCTGTCATCTTCTGGCTTTATACACTCCCATAAATGAAATAGGAAAATGGGGGTAAGTTGGAGAATAACATGTCAAAATAACAGGAGTGAAATATTTAAGAAGTAGATGAAAGAAGTAAAAAGGCCGAAGAAAAAGACAAGACTGTTATTTTTAATATGTGTATATATATGTGTATATATACATATATATACATATATATGTGTATATATACACATATATATACATATATGTACACAAAATCCTTGGATATTGGAGGAAAGGGGCAAAGAAGAAGTTAAGGATGAAAACAAACATTTTTGAAAAGGAGAGAAATGAAAGTACAAAATAAAGAGAGTAATGAAACACAGGGGAAAGAATATGGCACAAGAGAGAAATAGGAAATATGAAGAATTAGACGATAAAGAAAGAAAATCCCAAAGAATCACCAGTCCTTAGTATAAGCTCTTTCACATAATTGTTTTTCAGTCAAGCCTGACTCTTTGTTACCCCATTTGGGGTTTTCTTGGCAAAGAGACTGTAATGGTTTGCCACTTCCTTTTAATTTTACAGATGATGAAATTGAGGCAGGCAAGGTTAAGTGACTTGCCCAGGGTCACACAGCTAGTGTCTGAGGCCATATTTGAACTCAGGTCTTCCTGAGTCCAGGCCTGGCACTCTACCCACTGCACCACCTAGTTGCCCCTTCCAAATAGTAGGGTTTGTTAAATGTTTGCTGATTGAATATGCCTCATTTGAGCATAAACTAAGAGATATAGATGCCTGAGGAAGTTGTGACCAGTTGCTGATTCTTAGAAAGTAATAAGAACCATAGAATGTTCACCTCAAACTATCATCTGAACTACCCAATACCAGAGGGCATTTTTTGGTACAAGTCCAACTCTCTGCCTCCCAGACAGCTGTCTGGCTCTTTCCACTTACTTAGTCTCACTCCTTTGTAGGAAGTGCATTTTGTCTCATTAGTCTAGGATTTGGTATTTGTGGACCTACTCATTTAGACGGTGGCTCCATATCCCAACCCACTAGGAAAACTCTTCTATTTTCCCTTCACTGCAATGGAGTAATGAAAGACTTTTGCACTTCTTTGGACAAGGGACTAAGCGTTTATGTAGTGTCTATGCCAGGTACTGTGCTAAGCACTTTATATATATTATCTCATTCTGTGTAAATCATCAATCAACTACAGCACTATTAGGTTAAAAAAGGGGTGGTTAATTAAA